GTTTATAAATCTCCCACGTTTGTTGGCAACGGAAAAATTTTATTCGTTCAGTTACTTTATTTTTTATAAAACTTGGCAATTACAAAAAAATAAAAACTTCCTCCCGTTATTGGAATCAACAATTTTTATAATTTATTTACGAAGAAAAGGCAAAAATTCTATTGTATCTAGAATAGGAGAAGCAAATTAATAAGATGAGCCAAGTGTCGCAACAAAATTCCACAAGTGTCAAATTTTAGGCCAAAATTAGTTAGATTAGTTAATAATTAGTTACTCTTTTTTAATTTTAATAAAAATATCTATAAACTTATAAGAAAACTATCATAAAGAAAAGGAAATATAACTTCTGTGTAGAAATATATAAAATAAGAAAAATTTTAAATAATTATTCATATGGTCATGCTATACGCTATATGGATATAATAAAATTAAGGACAAAAACATAGACAACAATTAAAATATATAAAAATATAATTAACTTCTTATGTAGTAATCTTAATAAAAAGATTAAAATTTCATATTAAATACAAACGGGGAACAAGAATTCAATTTAGTTTCTTATTGAAAATGATACAAAAATAATAATAATTTAAATTATTAGTTGATTTATGACATATATTAAAAAAATTCTCTGTTTAAACTTCGAATTAATTCAACACCATCCTTTGATTTTGTATAGATTTTGTTATATTCTGCACACTATATTATACAATAGAATAGAGGTTAATAATTATAATATGACATATTCGATCATATAAGATTAATATATTGTCAAATTATCCGTGCATCGCGCGGGTTCTAATACTAGTTAATCTTAATATTAGGAACCCGTGGGCGCTTGGACTTTCCGAAAATGTCGCCATGTAGTGTGTCGGTTCCTCGAAAAGTAAGTGTATTTTTGGAGGCTCCGACATGGGCGTGACTACATTTTGGAGAGTCTGCGCAACATAGCCCGTGGGCTTATACTGAGTGATTTTTAAAGAGACTTTTTCCTTCCATATATGAAACCTTATTACCAAAAATGTGCATAGTTTCATATTTACCCGCCATGTTCATAGTTATTCTACAAAATATGTACCATTCATTAAATACCAATTATGAATGGTATATATTTAAGGTTCTTCTTGAAACTGTGTTCTCACCAGCGCTTCTCCTTTTAAAGCTGCTTCCCTTGAAGTTTGGGAAGATGATGTCCCTGAATAAAAGAATCTTGTTTTTGGGAATCCAATTGCAGACCGATGCAGATGCTTAAATCTCTTCTCCTTGAAATCATATCCTACAACCTACACAGTAGTTGAACAAGTTTATTAAGACCTTGCCACTCCTTTCCTTGCACAGGAACTCACTTAGCAACTCCATTAAAAATACAAATCGAGAGACGGACAAGCAAAAAATTAAAGAATTGCTGATCATTGCCAATTATTAGGAGCTGATTCCTTCCTAATTAGGCGCGCTACAAATCTGGAACTAAATATTCTTCCAGATATTCCTATTTAGGCGCGCTACAATTATGGAAGTAAATATTCTTCCAGATATTTTCCACCATTGACAGCCATTAAAAAGCTTGAAAGCTTTGAATTCAAATTTGGGTTTTCAAAAATTATTATTTGTTTGGATTGGGTGTTGTTGAAAATAATCGGAAATATGGTTTGGAGTTTATATCTCAATTTTGAGGGGTTTTGGAGAAGATTAGACTTGGTTTTGACTGAATTTCAGATTGAAACTCGAAGAAGAAGACGACATATTGCAGAAATTGTAGATAAAATGTAGATTATTTGTATTCTGATTGTAGATGCTTTATTTTCTGTTTTCACAAATAAAAACGGCTAAAACTTCTACAAATCTTCTGAAAAAACGCAATTATGTCAAAAATCTCAATTATGCTACAATTGAATGGGAATTGGGATATAAAAATTCAATGTACCCAATTTGTAGATATTTTGTAGATAAATTGTAGATTATTTGTATTCTAATTGTAGATGCTTTGTTTTCTGTTTTCACAAATCAAAAACGACTAAAACTTCTACAAATCTTCTGCAAAAAACGCAATTATGTCAAAAATTCCTATTAAACTACAATCGAATGGGAATTGGGATATTAAAATTCAATATACCCAATTTGTAGATATTTTGTAGATGAATTGTAGATTATTTGTATTCTGATTGTAGATGCATTGTTTTCTGTTTTCACAAATCCAAAACGACTAAAACTTCTACAAAATCTTCTGCAAAAAACGCAATTATGTCGAAAATACCAATTAAGCTACAATTGAATGGGAATTGGGATATTAAAATTCAATGTACCCAGTTTGTAGATATTTTGTAGATAAATTGTAGATTATTTGTATTCTGATTGTAGATGCTTTGTTTTCTGTTTTCACAAATCAAAAACGACTAAAATTTCTACAAAATCTTCTGCAAAAAACGCAATTATGTCGAAAATTCCATTTATGAGATTGGACGAATCTTTATGATTTAAGAAGAATAAATATTGAAATAACATATGGAGCTAAGTTAAAGCTTGTGACAACTTGTACATATAATGTGCAAAAATCTCCAACGCAAAAGAAGAGTGTCCAGCTAGTGGAAGCCTGGGAACAACAGATTTTGCAGATCTGAATGAATTTAACTAAAACATCCTTCAACTCCAACCCGAAAGAATTGCGTTCTGGATATTCTACACAACTGAAACGTAAAGCAATACTCATTCTGGAAGCCCAGGAATCAATTTCTGAACTGATAAGCTACATATTCCTTCCCCCACTTGCCAACATGAAAAACATGATTGGTTGTCTTATTATTCTTTCCATTTTCTTCATTGTTTCCTTAGTTTTTCAAATTTTAAAATGGAATTGGTCGTTGCTTTTTTGACGTTCATGTATCTAACCATTGTTGGCTTTTTTGGTTACTGCAAATTGGGCACATCTCAAAAATCTGGAGTTGAATTCAACCAGTAGCACTCGTTTCGGCCTCCAAAATTGAAGAATACTTTGGTGTGATAATGAAATAACGTCTATATATTAAATGTGATTCGAATTAGACGAGTCAATAAATACACTAGAATACTAGATGGTTAAAGCGGAAAGAAAATTACAACTGAAAAATTAACAAGACAACGATACATAGTACATAACTAAGAATCAATAAAATGGGATATACGGTACCTTGAATTAAGGAGGGATATATGCTGCATTAATTGTACCCTTAAAATACACTATGGTATAGAATTGATAATTTGGTATACTAAGTGTAATTAAGTCAAACCTTAAACATTGAGGGTAATAAGGTTTCCTATGTGGCATAGGAATGTAAAAATTTCATTTTTAAATGGGAGAACGCAACACCAAAATCTCTAGACTTGAGTGTAAAACTGTGATTTTGCTTGTACTTTTCATGGACATATTTTAACTGCGATGAACAATAACTTATGTTCCGTGTAACTGATTTCATTTGTAGTTAACTTTTCATCTTCTCATTAGGACTCCTGCAGTGTTTAATGCTTAATGTGTAGGCTCCTTTTTGTGAGTGCTGTGCTTTAGATGATTTTTTTCAGGATGAGGAGATTAATGAAATTAAAGATCTTATTGGTTCTGCTATTTTGGGCAAGGATTTCGATATGTTGGTTACTAGTATTGGTCACACAACTGCTAAATCATATAGAAATTCGTCAGTTAGGTTTGAATTTCGACATGCAGATCGATTTGATTTCAGATGTTCAATTGGTGAGGTTTCTCCGGAGATTTTCCTGAAAATGCCTGGAATTATATCCCAGTTGCGAGTATCTAATGTTGTTTATCTCTGCTACATACATCAATGTTGGTCCGGTCTTACTGGGAACCATATCATAGTATTCAGAGCATAAGCTTTCACTATTGCATCCTCTCATGATTTATCCACCAAATTAATTAGGAACCAAGAAAGCACTTACCACTATAGTACCCAGATCTGTCTTTGCTTCTATACTTGGGTAGAAACCATTCAACTCTTTTATTGTCTTCAAAAAATTTAGTGATGGTTCATCAAACAAAAACATGCAGTGCCTCTGATTAGCCTTTCTGTTCTATTTTTTGACTGCCAAAATCATTGATTTGCTCTTACCTAAATTGCAGAAGCAAACAATTAACGAAAACCTGGTGTTTGAAATGCTTGAAGTTAATCTGGGATCACTGTCTGTTAGATGGTTCTTCGAGCTGGTCATGTTTCATCGCACTGTGGCCCTTCATTTTCTCCCTGCAAACATCCGCGGAAACTGCTACACTTAAAATTTTCACAAAGTTAACTCGTTTTGGTGAAGAAAGGCTTGACCTTTGAGTTTTGCAGTTGTGGAATGTTATTGAACTTTGTAGTTTTGAAATGGAACAAACTGACCAGGACCTCGGAACTGTATTGTTGTTAAGCCGTAATGCATAGAACATCGTTGTTGGACTTACTATTGAGTAGGAACGTTTTGATTTTACATATATATCTGAATCGATGTTTGACAGTATAAGCTTCTAGCTTTCTACTGCATGCAAACAAGAGGATGTAACGAATAATGTGGAGAATTAAGACAAATAGAAAATCAGAGAACTGGAGAAGAACATTTGTAAGGGTGAGATAAAATTAGGGGTCAATTATATTTTACGCAGAATGCAAACATACTTGGAGCATAAGCATAATCACCAAACTGGTTAACTTTTGAATCAAAAGGGGCTCACGGTCATGGATGCTAGAAACAAAGTCATAGGAATCCAGTTTTAATAAAATGAACAAGCTAAAAAGACAAATGTAAAGCAATAGGAGAAAAGTCGAGCCAAAGATGAATCACACTTTGTTGAAAATAATAGAGGGGATTAGTGCAGTATCTTTGAAACAATTATTCAGTTCCATAAATAAGGATGGAGAGGGTGGTAAAAATAGCTGAAGTTGCACTATTATTCAAACTTGTGGCCATGTCTTTTAATAGTAAGGATCAAACAAATCCTCCATAAGAAACAAAAACAAGTTGAGTAGTAAGTAAAAAAAAAAGAAAAGAAGTACCAACTTTTATTGCCTCATCTTGTTCTTAACAATTAAGAAAAATTAATAAAAATAATGTACAAACTGCTTTTCTCCGTAAGGTATGACACCAGGAAAAATGGTGTTCTATATAATGACGTATATTAAATTTAGAAAGTTCCTGGTGCCCTATACAAAGCTGTATACTAATTCTAGAAAAGCTTTCAAAAGGAATGTATGTGCTTCACCTTTTCTATTGCCTGCTTCACCTTGTTCAATGGTTCTTCGTGCAAGTACGCTGGATCATCTAGCTCTGCAGCCAGGCTCTGCTCCCCAAGAAAGGCACGAAACGAGTCCGCAACTGAATTTGACAGAGAACTGAGATTATAACCCCCTTCTAAGAAAAACACGCAACGCCCTCCACATAAATCTTTGGCAAGTTGCTTAATGTTAGAGGCTAGCATGTAATATGTTCCTGTTGTGAACTGCAGGCTGGCAAGTGGATCCAACACATGGGCATCATACCTGAAAATACTCAATGACACCTTAATCAAATAATCACCGAACGTGCATAAGAAGAACCACAGAGTCCTATCTTAATGTTTACATTAGGCATTGATATTTTGACATGCCAAACCAAGATTACATCCTTTAGACCGCCAAAAACATCTCAGGAGCAGAAACAGAATAGGAGAGACATGATAAGAGGTATTATACCAAATTTTCCCACCTCACTACAGCTTGCTAGTTAGCAGACAACACAAGAATAATACATGATCAATTATTCACAACTAAAGATAAGGAGTCACACTATTACAGTAACAGAATGTTAAGAAAGCAAATGAACCGTGTTTAACTCATGTTTTTTCTTTTTTCTATTCCAAAATTTTAAGACTTCTTCATAGATAAGAAAATTACCCAGCTGAAACAAGGATTATATCTGGCTTGAACCTTTGAGCACATGGTACAATAACTTCATCAAACACCTTTCGCATTGCTGTATCACCTGATCCTCCTGGTAGAGGGAGATTCAGTGTTGATCCTTCACCACTTCCCCGACCAATTTGATCTATCTTGCCAGTCCCAGGATAGCTTCCAGCCTACACTGATCCAAGGATATCATGAGCGCATGACTTATCAAATTCATCCAATTGCAGAGTTCTAAACCATATTAGTTTTACACTTCGAGGTGAATAGCTGGTATATAATGACACGAAATTTCTTTTGCCTTACACAATGGTTGGTTGAGGTGAAAAGAGGAAGATGGCAGCAGGAGTGAAGGTTGCTTCCTTGTTCATGTAAGAAGTGAAAGAAGACGTGATGAAAAAGTGAAGAGCCATGTGAATCTACCAAACCAGAAATTTAATCTTGCTGTCGTTGGCAAGATAATCAGTTAATGTATTTTATTTCTGCTCCATCTATAACAAATAACATGAAGGAAAGTGCCACGAAAGTAATCACTAAGTGCAAAACAACCTTGAAACGAACATACTGTCAAGAAAAATCATCTTTGCAGATCACTAGATCTAGCTCAATTATTAGATTAAAAAAATGTTCTTCCCTTCATTCAACTACATTTTATACTAGCAGTTCTTTTTAGAAGTAGAATGTCAAAAGATTTTCAAAGCAATCTGTTCAATGTAATGTGTAGCTTACTTGGTGGGTAGAAAGGAAAAATATATCTGGGTCCTCATAGAAGGCGTCATTGGTTCCATTTCCATGATGAACATCAAAATCTATGATAAAAACACGCTTCAATCCATGCATTCGTTGAGCATAACGAGCAGCAATAGCAATATTTCCAAAGACACAAAAGCCCATGGGCCCCTTTGGAACAGCATGGTGACCAGGAGGTCGAATGAGCGCAAAACCGATAGGAGGATCCTTCCTAACTTTCGATGCTGCCACCTGAAATATCATATGAAGCAATTACTCCAGCTTTGAAATGCTGAAGTTTACCATCATAATCCACGCTAAAGTGATTGCTACATTTGTAACTTCTAACTGTAGTTCCAGTAGACTGAGACATTACTAACATCTTGGATTGAGACATTACCACTGAATCAACCAACGAAATTCCAGCTCCAGCTGCAAATAATGACTCTTGAAATGTCTGCATTATTGAATGTCGACATCAGAGTTCACATTGCCATAGAACACTTTCTCTGTGTTAAATGCAGATATCAATAATTTTAGGATCCTTGTCAGCTCATAACAAATTCAAAAACTTGCCCAATTAAGAGTTATTATTTCATTAATAATAGAGAAGCTAAAGCATGAAATTTCCTTAATGGAATGCTAATGTTGGGATTAACTATACAGCTAGGGTTTCATAGTTACACTCCTCCATCATGCATAATGAATTTCTAAACAGCATCTTCATAATGTTAGTTGATCAACATTAAGCACCATAAATGACCACTTGTCTCTCATTATGATGCTGCTGTAGAAGACTCATACAAGAAGCAACTAGCTTTTCTGATGGGAGTTTCCGAATAATCCTCTTTCATGGTGTCCTAGAAGATAGGTTAAATAGATGCTTGCCTAACATGGTCTTATCCTTCCCCTAACAAAAATAAACTTGAAACTAGAAGATAACCTCTTCCATTTAGAAATAGGCAAAATTTTTGCAAGACCAAAGCAATCAAAGTTAGTCGAATAAATGCTTTCAATACATAAAACATCAGAAACGTTTTCTGAAAACGTTAAATCACTGTTTGACAACCTGTAAGACCATCTGACTTGGTCCCAGGTCTCAGTGGAATGAGCTCTGCAAGCAAATGCTCATCCAGAATCAAGATATTCCTTAAGACTACGTATCAATAGTTTGCACTGATGCCACTGAACTGTTCCAAGACCCTATAGAACTCAGTCAATCTGCCAATCATCTAACATTCTCCTGAAGGTGAAGTTCCATCCCTGGGCAGAAGACCAAACATTGTGGATAGAAGTCATTAGGGAGAAATATGGAAAGGAAGGAAACTGGACAACCAAGGCAGTGAGAAGTCCATATGGTGTCAGCTTATGGAGATCAATCAGAAACCTTTGGCCAAAAGTGATTAACAAATCAAAGTTCAAAGTTGGAAATGGAAATAAAATATCACTGTGGAATGATAACCGGATAGAACAAGGAACTTTGAAGGGACTTTTCCCTGACATTCATGATCTGAATCAGCAACAACAAGCAGTTTTAGAAGAGGCATGGACAGCCCAGGGATGGAACTTCACCTTCAGGAGAATGTTAAATGATTGGGAGATTGACAGATTGACTGAGTTCTATAGGATCTTGGAACAGTTCAGTGGCATCAATGCAAGCCACGATCTTATTATGTGGCAAGGGAATGGGCAGGGGAAGTTCTCAGTCAAGAATGCATACAAGGAATACAACCTATCCAACAATCAGATTGGATGTTGGCCGTGGAAGATGATATGGAAAGTTAAAATTCCATACAAGGTCGCTTGCTTCACATGGTTATTGGCAAAAGAAGCAGTTTTAACTCAAGACAACCTAACAAAAACAGGATTCCAATTGTGCTCTAGGTGTTACTTATGTGGAGAACAGGCAAAGACAATTAACCAACCTTTTTTGTATTGCAAATTCACTACATAGATATGGAGGATTTTCATCAGTCTAAGGGGAATTCAATGGCAATGCCGAGAAGAATCCTTGATATTCTAGCCAGCTGGAATAAAGAGGGTGCACTTCCGAGAGACAAAGAGAGATGGAGAATTGTCCCAGGTTGTATATGGTGGACAGTCTGGGAAGAGAGAAACCAAAGATGCTTTGAAGAAAAGTTCAGCAACATCCAGAAGATAAAGATGAAATTTTTTAGCTCTTTTTTATTTTTGGTGTAAAGGAAAACTTTTGGAGGATCATGAATCCATCCTAGATGCCCTAGATATATTGTAAGAAGAACAGGGGTGATCAGTGTCTTTTTTTGTTTAGTTTTGTATGGGCACTCACACTGTAATTATGGGTGACTTCACAATTTTAGTCAAGCCTTTATATTAATATACAAAATTATTACCTTCTCAAAAAAAAAAAAAAAAAAAAAATTGTGCAACGAGTGACCTTTAATGAGAGGCTAGAAAGCTCCGCTCTCTTTCATTTTATATGGTAGTGTCGAAGGACCTATTCTTGAGACATAGCAAAAAGTACTCTTAAAACTTGTTTAAACGTGCACTGAAATTTCTATGGCTATAGAGCACATCATCAAAGGGTAAATGAAATGTTAAAAGTTAAAAGAGTCTCCAACTATAGATATGTATTATTCCCTTGGGAACAGACTAAAAAAGGTTTTAGGCCATGGACAAAGATGACTTAGTTGTGAACTTCCTCTGAGGATAGAGTAAGAAAAGTAAACTACCAACAAAATGAGACAATAAGGCGGTGTTGTGTTTGTTTTTTTTTTTTTTTTGGGGGGCACCCTTCTAAAAGTTGCAAGACTGAGTGCAATGTTGAAATACAAGAGTAATGTATCATTGTAACTGGTTAATGTATTGGTGAAACCACATTTATGTTTTCCAAGGAAATCTGTACAGGAATGTTAAAGTAAATTCCAAAAATATTGGAAAGACAGATAGATGTTGATCATTTTGGCCTCACGAATCATGTCAAGGAAGGTTTTTTCCCAGTGGACAGAAGAGAAGGAAGATAGAAGTGGCCATCCAGAAGCAACTGAAGCGACAAACCTGCAGCAGCTAAAGATTTATAGAAGGCACAGGTAGTTAGTTGCTATAGTTAGAGGAAGGAGGTGCAACAATCATATATTAATTCTCCAACAGCGAGCAGCTTTATTTTAGGTCAGAATGCCTTCTGTAATCCTTCTATATTTGGAACATTTGCAGCACTCATGAATGAGCATTTTCTGGTGATATTTAAAGGATGGAGTAGACAATCTTTCCAGCTCACATACTTTAAATACAGCAGAGTCGGGAAAGAGAAGAAAGAAGAGGAAAAGAGTTAGGGTTTTGAGTTATGCAAGGAGTATCCTGCCAATCAAAGTGAGCGTTTAATGATATTTTGGTGCATTTATGACTAATTAATGCTAGTCCTTAATTAATCACAAGAATCCACCAAAGGTAGAAATTTCAAATGTCTCCAAGAGGTAATCTTACTACCTAAATTTCATTTATTACGTATAAATGAGCTTGTTGATAGCACTTATGAGTTAGATAGATTGTTTAGTGAAGTTTATTAAATAAACCCTAAAGTTGGGTACTAACGAAGGTTGTTTAGGTAGTTAATGAAGATGATGAATAGTAGTCGGGAGTATTAATTGGGTATTGTACTGACACAAATGAATTTAATAACCTATTATATTGATAGGATTGAAGTGATGAACAAGGATTACACCTTAATGAAGAATTGGGTGTTTAGACGGCATGGAGTCAATCCAAGGCCTTTGATGGGTCTTGTTGGACTTCAATGGACATGAACAGATGCATGCGAATTATCTTTGTGCAGATTGACTATTGTCGGACGTCTTTAAGTGTCATTTCATGAAGGTTATGTGTTTAAGAAATTCCTCAAGAATAAAGAATAATCAAATCTGATAAATTTGGAACACCAATAACTTTTTTTCAGAAATCACAGACAATCTTCATCACTTATCTTTCTGATCGCAAATAAAAGTGGAAACTGACTGTGCTATAGAGACTAGCATCAGAAAGCGGGAGAGTCAGCTTAAAATATGTATTCTTACTGTGGCAGTAGCATATGTTGGTCCAGATCCTTCGATGAAAATTAGACCTTTCTCTGAAGCCTGATCCATAGCCTGCAGATGATAGTCGACAAATCAAAAGAAAGGATAAGAAAGAATAATGGTGACAACGGTGACAACAATGACGATAATAGCTGTCAGGAAAATGACTTCCGTCAATAAACAACGGAAGCCATTTTCCTCATTTTGATAGAATATATTTTCTGGTAACCAAAAATGTCTTTCTCATGAAAAATACTTTCCTGGAAAATGACTTCTGTCATACCAAGCACACCTTCAGAGAAGTTCTGATTTATTGTACGATGACATTCAATAAGAAGAACTACCAAACCTTATGGTTATTCTACCTTCTCAAGCCCTGAGATATATGCCCCAGCATGAACACTTGCTATGTCATCAATTGTAGCTGGTCTGAAATTCTGCACTTCTACGATATCTGAGCCTCGAAACTGGATCATATGATAGCTTGATTAGTTGCAAAGGTATTCGAAAAAACATTAATATGTGCATTTTACTAATGCACAGAAATGTTCTGGTTAGTCAGACCCATATCTGCACCCCCTGCCCCCAAAAATACGGATGGTAGAGTGCAACCAGGAACTCTCCTGCCCTCCCATGACTAGCCCTAGTGGTAAGGGTCATTTGACAAAGGAAATTCACTGCATTTTACTTTATAACATCTCCCTTAGGTTCCTTGTAGAAGTTGCTTCACACTTTAGGGTAGGATGGTAGCTCCCATAAAATCCATAAATATGTTGCTTTGCACTTCAGAATAGGAGGTAGCTCACTTAAGTTAGCTAAATAGCTGAACTGGGAAATATGCCAGCCTTAAAAGGTAACTAAGCACGCAAAACCATAAATTTGATTACCTCCAACATTGGTTATGGTTTACTTTAGTAGATTACAATATTTTATCATTCTTACCAAATGGTAGGTCATAAAGAGTGTCAGAATCTATTTTTCCTTTTCTAGTAATAATCCTTTTTTTATAACCAAAAAATCCTCGAGAGCCAGTGGTATACGGTTTGCAACCTGGTGGATAATTGGCCTACCCCTCTGCCCTTCTCTTTTTATATTCCAGACTTTTTGTCTGAGGCAGGGTTTAAACCAGTGATGTCCACCTAACCTATACACCACGTACTACTCTTTTACCACACCACGTACTACTCTTTTACCACTACCAAAATTCGAGGTTTAAAATTTACTTATCAAAACTCGATCAAATTTTTCTTTTTATTTGAGTAGGATGTCCATACAAAACTAAAATAATTGAAAATCTAAAAAACTCTGTCCATTTAACTGGTTTCATGATGAACAGACTTTCCTATGAAGTTGTTAATGTGAGATATTATGATGTTTTAACAGATCCTGGCATATTAAAGGAGGGGGGGGGGGGTGGGGCCAGTTATTCCCTTATAGGGTTGTTTGGTTTACAACTGGGATTATAATGTGAGCATTATAATATGGAGATTAAATATTAAAAAAAAAATTATTTACTTTTTTTAGTAGATGTCTGGTTTATTGGATTAACAATCGGATATATGGGATATGGTATAAAACATATTTTTTAGTTTACACTACATAAACTTGGATAAACTTGTATTTCCAATTTTAACATTGGCCTTCTTAAAGGACTTATGGAGAAGAGCTTTGGAGAAGGTCCTCTTTTGTCATTTGGTTGTTTTACCCCAGGATAAGCTAACCTCGAAATCGATATCCCACATTGAATGTGGTATAAAAATAACACCAAAATTGTGGAATAAATAATCCTAGAATTACTTATACCGGAATCAAAAATTTCAATCGAACACAGAATAAAATAATCTCACATTTTATCCCTGAATTATAATCATTTATCCCTGATTCCAAACGATCCCTTAGGGGGATATCATATGTGCTTGTCTTTTATAAGCCACTGGTGAAAACAATGAACACAAAAATCAACATTGACAAATAATTGCTCTGTGTTTGTGGCATACCTTAGAAGTCAGTTTCATCTTTTCCAGAGCTGTCAAAATTGCAGGAACTCTAGAGTTGCATTCTGGATGTGATTCCTGAAAACTTTTTGTGGCTGACTTTCAAGAAATAGATATCCCCAACACAACATAAAGGCATAGTAAAGGACATTAACAAATTTCAATCTATAAAATGATAGAATAGTGAAGTTTACAGCAGTGCTTCTTACCCTAAAGAAATCATGCAAGAGAAATATTAACAAGATCTGTATAAATAAAAGGAGGTGTCATTATATGACATCCAATTGAATTGAATACTTTAAGGTTTAGCACAGCAAAATTAAGGGGCAAGATCATAGGAGTGAAAAAGTTTAAGATAGAACGGAGCATTTTGTTCCCAAAGATATTTACAAGTGAATTCTAGTTGAAACAAAAATATTAAGCAACAAGCTGTCTGTCATATCTATATAGCATCAAAGCCAAAATTCTCACATGATTTTAGGCAGCATCTGAAAGAGCAAGAAAAGGCAGTGGTACAATTTGGCTAGTCAAATGTAACCACACCATGGACATCGCAACAACTTCTCTCGATCCTTCTTGTTTCTTTAACTCGAGGACAAAGTAGTGTATCTCTAAAAAAAAAAAAGGGGATGATGTAGATCTCTTGGGTTATGTTTGGTCTCCAAGATGCATTTGGTTTTACTTTGGGCTGATTAGAAGAAAGACTTCTCTTGAACTCTCTTTTTTGCTAGAAAACTTTAAAGAAAAAATAAAAAAAATGCCCACTCTTTTCTACTACCAATAGCCAACATACTCCCCCCTCCCCCCCCCCCCCCCAAAGATAGATATGTGGTAGGTGTGACCCTTTTTTTTAATAACGATGGTATCAGGGACAACATGCACTAACTCCAACTATTCCACCGCATACCTACTACCTCCCACCAGCACATGTACTATGTAACTCTGCCCATCAAGGTTTAGGCAAATGGATGAAATTACCTAGGGTCTTTTTTTTTGGTCTATAATGAGATTTGAACTTTGATCTTCAAGGTTTGCACCCACTCACTTCATTGACAACTAGGACACACTTTTGAATGCCCCTTTTATAGGTGTGACTTGTGAGCTAGGGTATTGGAGTGGAGTAGCCTTAAAGTAACCCTAATGTGTCTTTGGGTTGAAGAATATGGATGAGCTCATCTTGTAGAAACCCCATTTAACTTCATAAACCAAATCTAATTGGATTTCTCTTAGATCGTGTAATTTAAAATTAAATAATTAATCTAAATTTCTTGAACAAAAATGTTGACTTGATCTAATATGTCTTAAATTTAGGAGATAGCCCGTATTTGTACGAACATATCAAATAAGAAATTTGATATCTATGTTATGTTTCAAAAAAGAAAGGAACAAAGAATGTTATAATTAAAATATGTTAATCTCCAACTAACCAAAAAGTGACACATACCTAAATCTAAATAGATTTCATGATGGAGGAGGAATTATACCTGGAATGAGGAAGATCTTAGTTGTAAGACATCTAATTAAACCGTCACCGGGATTGAGATCTAGAACTACAACATACATGAGTTCATGATATCTGATGGAGAACAAAATGGCACCTTGGAAAGCACAAAGAGCCAGGCATTTCCTACAAGAACTTTGTTTAATGGCAGAATAGCCTAAATGGCACCTATACTTGTCCCACTTAGTCATGCCGGTCCCCAAACTTCACTTGTTTTCATCCAGACACATTAACTTGATCAAAGCCTATTATTCAAACCCCTCTGACCGTTGACCAAGCACATGTGGCAAAATAATGGTTGAGCTGGACAAAGTAGGTGTAATTCACGCGGATAATGAGCGTGAATATGAGCATTTTGAACCAGAAATAATTAAAATAAAAGAAAAAATCATTAAAATAAAAAAGAAAAATACAATAAGAAAAAAAAGAAAAAAGCAAACGGGTGGATCCAAATAACTGAAGCAAAGGGTGGATCCAAATAAGTAATATGTTCTTCCCCATACCCAACTTTCTCTTTCTCCTTATTTTGATTTAATATCCAAAGCTATTTTCCCCATGGTCTCCGTTTTACGCCTCTGTACTTCTTTCCTATGGTTTGTGATGGACGACGGACATTTTTGGGAAGAAGTTGGTTTCTTTGGGGTAAATATGGTATGTTAAGAGCATTAGCTTCATTGAGGACTTCATATAATATTATCTCCTGTGAGTCATTCTCATTCAGAGGCAGATCACTTTGGGGAGCTGGAACCATAGCTAAGAGGGATATAAGATTATGGCTTTTGAAAAAGGAACAATTCTTTTATCTGAACCATTATCGCAGAGTCAAGGATTGAAAAAAAAAAATCTCCTCTGACCCAAACAAAGTGATTAAAACTTCAAGAAACTTGATGAAGCTGAATCAATTGTTATAATTTGAGTGACCCGGTAAGCCAAAACAAGTCAGCAAGAGTGAGCATGGGGGGAAGAGAAGAAATTAAGATGAATTTTTATATCAGCCCACAACTCCTATAGAAGCAAAAATGAAGAGAGTAAACGAAAAAGAGAAGAATAATTTGAAGAAAATGAGAAGTTGCAGAAGATGGTGGTGTTGTAAGCAGACGCGTAGAAGAATGTTCAGGAAAGGCAAGGTGGTGAGCAGACAAACTCCCGCCGCCGACCCAAGTCGCCACCTTCATCAGGGACTAAACCTAAGTGGGTTAGTGTAAAATGAGGGGAAAATTTGGATTTGGGGGATTAATAATCATTTCTAATTTTATTTTCCTATGTGGCCATAATAAATGACGTGGAGCCTACGTGGTTTAATTTCTTGACGTGGCATCCTACGTGTATGAGATTGTGTTACACGCACTGACAGCGTCGTGTCATAAGCGTTTATTATATACGGTTTGAAGGAGTGTAAGGGTTCAATTGGCAAATTGTTAAGTTTGGGGACCGGCATGACAAAGTGGGACAAGTATAGGTGTCATTTAGGCTATTCTGCCTAGTTTAATTGCAGCTAAGTAAACTCTTGGAAATAATATCTACTTTTGGCATATGCGGGTAGGGATGCCAATGGGGCGGGACGGGTTAAAATTGTTTTTAAAATTTTTAAAGCGGGTTGCGGGGCAACTTTGAATTTTATTTTTTTTTAAACAAAGCAATCATTTCAACTATAATTTCACATTCTTTTTTACTAGCACGAATGCTATTTTGATTTATAATTAACCAATTTGCATAAGTCTCAACAAAATGATATTACTTAAGTCAAGATATCGTATTAGTAATAGGAAATGATAGTAACCCATTTATTTTGGAAGAACAACGTAATACTCCCCCACTTTTATGTTTATGTGATTCTATCAAACTCTCCATTTTATAAAATAATAAAATGTCAAACTAGTTTGTTTTAGAAAAAAAATGAAAAAAACTTATGTGGGGCGGTGCGGGTCCAAGCCGGGCGGGTTGAAATTTTTGGGGGTTTTGCCAAATTCGCCCCCCACCCGCCCCGCCCCATTGCCATCCCTATATGCGGGCGATAGAATGACATGAACAACATGCTACAGAATAAACAAAACTTTTCTTTGAACACATATACTAAGATTATCTACCTAGTTGTCAAAACAATATCTCACCAGGAAACTCATAAGTAGAAGACACACAGTGAGAATATAGAGAGATAATAGGCATAAAGGCTGTAATGTGCTAATATTTGCAATTAAGTGGAAACCCAAAAAAAAAAAAGATATTGCATTATTGCTTATCCCTTTGGCAGCCAGACTTTGATGGGAAGCTCCCAAAGGTTGCAATGAACTTAGAGACAGCATATTTCGAGGTATATGACATAAAACAGTTCTTTATTTCAGATTCCAGTTCAATTAAATTGATCTAGATACTTGAAACAATTTGTACCTCCTAAGAAAATTCTTTTTAAAAGAAGAAAGAAAAGAAAAGAACTTTGGGCTGTAAAAGAAAATAATTTTAAGTAATTGCAGTTCTGATTATAAAAGGCTGAAACATTTGTGAGCAAGTTGCTCAGCAATCAGTAGTAAGTTTGATTGTGCTCCTCAATTTTCCATCTTTAAAGTCAACAACAACAACAACAACTACCCAGTAAAATCCCACAAAGTGGGGTCTGGGGAGGGTAATGTGTACGCAGACCTTACCCCTACCCCGATAGGGCAGAGAGGCTGTTTCCGATAGACCCTCGGCTCAGAAAGACGGAAATAAAAAACAAGAAAAGACAATTCATTAGTAACTCCAGTAGAAACCGTAATAGTAATAGAAGCATAACAACCAAAAGATAAATGACATGCAATAACAGTAACCAGTATCTAAAGCCGGGGCTAAGATAAACAGCAAGGATAGTGTAGACTCAACATAAACTGCAAGCCATCTAAGATCAACCATAATCCAACCCCGCCTCACCCCGGGTATGAAGTAAGGAAAGCTCTACTACCCCCTAACCTACAACCCTAATGTTTGACCTCCACACCTTCCTATCAAGGGCCATGTCCTCGGAAATCTGCAGTCGTACCATGTCCTGCCTGATCACCTCCCCAATACTTCTTAGGCCGCCATCTACCTCTTCTCGTACCCACCACGGCCAACCGCTCACACCTCCTCACCGGAACATCAAGGCTTCTTCTCCGCACATGCCCGAACCATCTGAGCCTCGCTTCCCGCATCTTGTCATCCACAGGGGCCACGCCCACCTTCTTCCGAATATCTTCATTCCTAATCTTGTCTATCTTAGTGTGCCCGCACATCCACCTCAGCATCCTCATTACTGCTACCTTCATCCTCTGGATATGGGAGTTCTTAACCGGCCAACACTCTGCCCCATACAACATGGCCAATCTAACCACAGCTCTATAAAACTTACCTTTGAGAATCGGTGGCACTTTCTTGTCACACAAGACTCCAGATGCAAGCCTCCATTTCATCCAGCCCGCCCCTATACGGTGAGTGACGTCCTCGTTGATCTCTCTGTCCCCCTGAATCATCGACCCAAGGTACTTGAAGCTATCTCTCTTGGGGATGACCTGTGATCCAAGCCTCACGTCCCTGCCTACTTCCCTCGACTCAACGCTAAACTTGTACTCCAGGTACTCTGTCTTAGACCTGCTCAATTTGAAACCCTTAGACTCGAGGGTCTGTCTCCAAACCTCCAACCTCTCATTAACACCATCCCTCGTCTCATCAATTAGAACTATGTCATCAGCAAATAACATACACCATGGCACATCCCCTCGAATATGGTGTGTCAGAGCATCCATCACCAAGGCAAATAAGAACGGGCTAAGCGCAGAGCCTTGGTGTAATCCCATAACAACCGGGAAATGCTCCGAGTCACCTCCCACAGTCCTAACCTTAGTCTTAGCTCCATCATACATGTCCTTGATCGCTCTTATGTAGGCTACCAGCACGCCCTTTGCCTCAAGACATCTCCAGAGCACCTCCCTAGGGACCTTGTCAACGCTTTCTCCAAGTCAATAAACACCATGTGCAGATCCTTCTTCTTATCCTTGTACTGTTCCACCAACCTCCTAATAAGGTGTATAGCTTCCGTAGTGGAGCGACCCGGCATGAACCCAAACTGATTGTCGGATATAGACGTCGTCTTCCTCACCCTCACCTCTACCACCCTCTCCCATCTTTAATGACAATTCAACCTAATTCCGCATGTATACCAGTATGAAAGATTACAAGACAATCATATATTATCAGTTCAGAGCCATTACTTCTGCTGCTTGGAAAAGTAGGTTGGAATAATGATTGATTGTTGTAGTAGATATGTGCATACATTTTTCTTTACAATTGGAAGAATAAGTACCATTTTGCAGTCAACAATTACGCTCTAAGTCTCTATCGTACTCACTTATCTGCTTTCCCGCGTGGACATAATTAAGTGTAGAATTGCTAACCAGAACAGACAAAATATAGAAGTCCGTGTTCCTTCCTCCACAAGCCATATGCAGAGGCAAGGTTGGCAATTGATCAAGACGGTAACAGCTTACATAAATTTAGTTTAACTCTTTTGATAATAAGTGATACAAAAAGTTGTTTGGCATGAGCTTAGTCCAGGACGGTTTTAAGAGAAGATGCTATAAAGTAAATAATTCCTTGGAACCCCAAAGCTAGCTTCATAATATATATGGTAAGTAGATCTATTTTACCTGATTATGACCCATTGCGGGTGCAGCAGCAAAAATCACTTTTGCACCAACTCCAATATGATCAGAAGGCAAGACAGCATTGCTTTCCTGCTGATTTGAACAATAAATGGTGCCTCGAGCACTCGTTGATGAATACGCCTTTTCTGATCTGATGTGCTTCTGGAGATCTATATACTTAATGGTAATTCCATTCTTGGAATACTTCTTATGAGAGTAAACGCGATGTCTAACGCAGAACAGCAAGTTACCTGCCAAAAGGAATTGAAACAATTATGCTCATCTGTTTAAGAGAAGAGCAGTCCATTTTGGAAAAACAAAGAGAAAAAAACAACTATGTGACAACAAATTTAGACAAGATGATCTTCCACAATAGGAACGTTTCAACAAAAATTGTGCATTGTTTCAATGCGATAAGTAGGAACATCAACCCCTTCTTCAACCCATACATAAATTTAAATTTTGCAGCAGAAACCCGTAGTAGAGTCCAAATGCATTTCCAATGCAATTGAACTTCGGAGCGTAATTAACTGCATGTAGTTTGGAGATTGACACATTTATACCTCCCCGTCTGTCTTTATTCTAGTCATTATCCTTTTTTTTCTTAATTTTTTTTTAGATGGTAACATATTTGTATATAAAAGTAAAATCAGTACATAGGTTTTACTGAAACCATATTTTACAAGTGGGCAAAAGAAGAAAAAGTTCTGCTCTGCTGTCCTAGCAATATTCTAGAATATCTAGGATTGACATAGTATCCTCTATGTAAATTTCTTTACATCAAAAACAAAAAAGCAAAACTCTGTTTAGTTTGATCTTCTGCACTGAGTTGCTACTATCCTCAAAACATTTAGGAATTCCTTTCTTTCCAGATTGTACAAAAATACGTGCTGGGACATTCCTCAATCGATCTCTAAGCTCCAGCTCCAGCTTCATTCCAGCTAAAAAACACTTCAGTAATCTTACTAGGCATTGTCCAGGTAATACCTGTGAGATTAATAAAGTTCTTCCACAGCTCGTAGGTATGTTATCCTGCAGTGAAGAAATAGATGGCTAATTGTCTCAGCTTTTTCCCCACATAGAAAGCACCTTGAACAGAGTGGAATCCCTCCCTTTATAAGATTGTCTTGGGTCAAGACAGCCTCCTTTGCTAGTAACCAAGTGAAACAAGCAACCTTATATGGGACTTGTATGCTTCCATGGCCAATTAGTTATCTGCTGATTAGAATGGTTTAATAACTTGTATGCAGAATTCACTTTATACAAGCCTTTGTTGTGTCCCTGCCAGCATAACGTATCCACCCCACTCTGTAACCCTTTTAAAGTCTTCCAGCTGTTTGTAGGACTCAGTCAACCTAGCCACCTCCCAGTCTTTCAACATCCTTCTAAAGCATAGCATTCACAGTTTGGCTGACTTATCCAAGTCTAATTAAACTATTGAACAAACATGTAAATTTCCCTGTTAACAACTATTAAAATATAACATAACTCACACTAGGCAATGATTTCTTTTCTAGATGTCACTCAGTATAAAATCAGCTACTGGAACTAATTGTTCTCATACAATGATGAACTTCTATCACACCTCCAAAATCCCATCATTAAAGTGTAATATGAAAATAATAAGGCAGCTATTTTACAAGAAATTGTCAGAAAATTCAATAGTATAAACCAAATCAGGAAAATACTCATGAGTCATGACAACACGTCTCACAGAAGAGCAATCTCCCAATTTATAAAATTCTATTCTTAACCAAACCCAAAACCACTGAGAGTTCGGCTCAACACATTATAATATACAGATGAAGAAGACATTAAATTATGAAAAGAGGGAGGAGAGAGTAAAGAGTACCTACTCCAAAGCTTCGCGAGCAAATAGCGGGAAGCTCCATACACGCCAAAGAAACAATTTACACTGTTTATAAGCTCTCTGAACGTCAGAGAGCTTTTCTAATAAGATATCTATGTCCAGATTATTTCTTCTTTCTTTTTTCTTAACTGCTGAACACAGAATTTAGATGAAAACTTGTTTGGTACTGCCCGACCAAGGGCATTCTTGGAATTTTGATGTGTAAGTGGTTACGTGTCTATCTCCAATTGAATTTTCAGCCATGGATAGCCGGTCCGCTACATTTTGCACTTTGATGCAGGGATAAGGGATAATTGATTAAATTTCAGATGAGTTTGTCACTTATCTTTTATTGGGATAAAATCATGGTATAACTAATTCCGAGATTTAGTTATCCCAAAATTATAGTATTTTTTATCAAATGAGAGGCTGAATTAACTAATTCCGAAATAATTAATCATTGAACTAACTTGTTTACCAATCAAACGACCCCTTAGGGGTAGTTTAGTATAGAAACAAATTATGCTGGAACTTTAATACATTAAGGAATTATATTATGTATCGCACAACTTCAAAGTCTAGTACCGGGGCCACCCCATTCTCATCGGTTTATGGCGCCGAAGCTTTAATACCGCTCAAAGTCGGGGAGCCGAGTATTAGATTCTGATATGCAATAAGGGAATCGAATGACGAGGCCATGAATACAAGCCTGGAGCTATTGGACGAACATCGTGAAGTTGCCTTTGTTCGATTGGCTGCCCAAAAGCAACGGATAGAAAGGTATTACGAACGAAGGACCAACCTTCGATTTTTTAATGTCGGGGGACTTAGTGCTGAGGAAGGTCACATTAAACACCAGAAATCTAAACGAACGGATATTGGGTCCGAATTGGGAAGGGCCAAACCAGATTCTCGAGATCACAGGGAAAGGTTCCTATAAGCTCGGAATGATGGACGGAGAACAACTACTAAACAATTGGAACATAACTTATCTTAAACGATAACGCTGCTAAGGTACGACCCCATTTCAATTCTTTTTATTTTTTGACTAACACTTGCAGGTTATCGATAAAGAGCGGCACAAAGCCTTTAGGTCTAAAAGCACGCATTGCACTCTTTTTCCCTCAAACCATTTTTGTTCCAATTTAGTTTTTCGGCAAGGTTTTGAATGAGGCAACAGTAGATCGTGCTAACTTAGAATCGAAGGCCGATCACGAATCGGTGTCAAATACAGTACTAACAGTATCCGAGGTTCCTCTACAATCAACCTCGAATATTGAGGGGGCATTGTCCTTGGATGTCAACTTTTTTGCAAGGAAATTACTTCATAATAGCGGGGTCTTAATAGGTGAGATTTGTTATAAGGGCCAAATGGTCAAACAAATCGTGCCCACATAGGTTGCTCGAGCCCTGGCACAAAACATGTATGCATGTGTAATCATTTTTCACAAGAATAAAGAGAAGTATATTTTCCTTTCAATTATATCATGTCTTAGGAAAATAAAAAAAGAATTCTACTTTACAATTCTGTACTTTCGATCTGTTATTAAAACGAGCTCAAGGGCCGATTATAACCAAAGTTCAAATGATCACCCCCCACACTCGGGGATTGCTTTCCAAAAGATAAACTTGAATTGATCGAACTATTGAGCGTCGGGGGCATAAGATCTCTTAGGCAACCCCCAAATTTTAAAGGCCACGGCCATACCCACTCGGGAACTGTTATCTTAGGCAAGCTTGGATAACTCGAGAAAGCAAGCTCACTAGGCTACGCCCGAATTAAAAGGTTATAGCCGCATTAACACAGCTCGAAGACGTCCGAGAACCGTAACTAAAAATAGGCCTTCGAAATATTCATAACCGGTTTTAAAAGATACCCTCGACAAACTATGGTTTGAGTTACTTACTTTGGAGAAGGTTCCCGATAACCCCGAACCTCCAAGATGACTCAAAACAAAAATAATGTAAGGTAAGGTTGATCGTACTAACACAACCCAAGCTATTTTATGCTAAGGCATCCCGACCTTTGTGAACTAAAGAAATAAAGCAAAGGAAAAATTCGAAAGCCAAAAGGGAAAAAAAGCCTTGTATATATTTACACAAAGATCTTTACAAAAGCCAAAATGGCTTAACTCGAAAAAATCTACAACAGTCGAAATGGCCTCAAAAGGATGCAAAAGAAAAACAAAAAATATAAAGGCCTAAGTGGCCTGGTCTTCATCAGAGGCAGCATCTCCATCCTCGAGATCTTCCCCGCCTTCAGACTCACTAAACTATCTGAGTTTTCCTCGGGAAATGCCAGCTTTCGAGCCCTAGCCTCTGCTGCTTTGGCGTTCTCGAGTGCAGCTTGTATATCGAAGCCCTGAGCATGAGATTCCTCGAGGGCTTCCCTTCGAGCTTGCCACTTCGCATGATCCACCATGCTTTTGGCCTGCACTTGGATGGCTTGGATGTCGACCTTATACTGGGTCGCATTAGCATTGGCTTTTGTGTTGGCCACGGCCACCTCAGATTTGGTCGCCTCGAGCTCACTACCAAGTTTGTTAATTTGGACTGAAGCTCCTCGATTTTCTTGGCTTGCACTGAGGCTTCCTCTCTTGCAGCTCGGAGCTAGGACTCGGCCGACTCCAACTCTGCTTGGACGGCCTCCTTTTTCGAGGCTAAGATTTCCATATTCTTCTTAAAATCTTCAGCCTCGGCGCGTATTGCATCTATTTGTTTCTGAAGATCCCCGATCTATTCGAGCCTCTGTCGGACCTGTAGAATCGGATTGTTAGTCGTTATATCCAATTCGTCTTCACTATCGTGAAGCACTCGAAATACCTGTTCGGCCATCTCAGCATGCTCATCCCTAGCCGTCACTAAATTTCCTGAAGATTCTCACTAAAAAGCTTGTAAGTATTATTTTTCTCAGTAAGGTCCCGAATCTCAGCCTCGCGCTCCTCCCGGATTCGAAGGAAAGCCTTGTGATGCAACACTAAAGCCTACAAGCAAGGAAGAAGATGTTATAATTACCTATGAGTCCAAGTTTAAAAGAGATAATGGGATAACCCTCGAAGTTACCTGATTCAGAGGATATTGGGCCTCGTTGCACAGGCAAGCGGCTCCCACCGCATTCATCAAAGCTTGGTATTCCTCGGTCACCAAGCACCTAAGATAGCTGGCAATCCCTATAGAGGGAGAAAAGTCCAGGGCATCCTCCGATATGGAAAACATATTCTACCTACGGTCGGGGTTAACACTTGGGTCCGAGAATCGGTCCACCAGTGCTCGACGAAGCCCTAGTAGCGCCCGAGGACGGTGATATCTTCGGCACCGGTAAGTCACCAAGCCCATTGACATCTTCCAAAGCATCGAACTCAACCTCATCCAGAAAGTTATGGATATCGACTGCCTCCTAAGGACCCTCACAAGAGCGACCTTCTAACATATTGGCCTCACGGATCGTAGCATCCAAAATCTGAGAGGATCTGGAAATATCGATCACATCGAGCTTGTCCCTCGGATCATCTTCCGCCACTCGGGAAGCCTCCCACCCGATCTTTTCTCGACCATCTCAGACTAGGATGGAGTGTCCTCGACTTTTTCTGGCTCGGGAACCTCGGCCGAAGCTCCCTCGTTAACTTTCTCCGATACGGAGGGCTTTTATATCGAAGCACCACCCCGTACACAGGCTACCAGATTGGATTCTTCTTCTTCTTCTTCTTCTGCTTCTGCTTCTTATTCTTATTCTTATTCTTCTTCGGACTCGTCCCTTAGCCGACGGATTGAGTCCGGGATAGAGCAATGGTGTTCCCCTTGTGTTTTCTTGCCTTTTCTTTGGATTTTTCTTTTCCGAGTTTGGGGAACTCGGAGCCCCTTTTCTCTTCTTCTCTTTGGCTTGCTTCAGAGCAGGTGTTTGAGGAAGGACTTCTTCTTCTTCAGATGGGGGCCTCATTGTTACATCCTTCCCGAGGCCTACAAAGGAAAAAAGACGAGTAAGCTCAAAAAGAATCCTCGAATGATAATCGTCCTAAGAAAGACTCTTACCATGATTGCGGGCCTCCCATCGACCCTTTGTAATTCCATCCAAGCATGCTCGGAGTATGGTCTCTACGACACCAGGCCCTCGACTCATTGCTTGAGATCGGGGACTACCTCCGGCACCTGGGTCACAACTGCAACACCAAAAAGTATAGATGAGGAAAGAAGATAAGAGGTAAAATAGCAAAATTAAAAGGGCAAAGTACTCACACGATTCATGTTCCATTTCTCCGAAAACGACATGTCTTCAGCAGGGATCAGGTCCGAAGTCCTTATTCGGACAAATTGGCCCATCCAACCTCGGTCGTGAGACTCATCTATGCTCGAGAATGGGGCCTTGACCCCCCAAAGAGCAAGCTTAATCAGCCCTCCTCGATAGAATTGGGGACTATAAAGGCATATAAGGTGGTCGAGGGTGAAAGGACATCCCTCAATTTTGCTCACGAAGAATCATAGGAGAATCACTATTCTCTAGGAGAAATGATGGATCTGGCTGAGGGTCACGTCATACCTCTTACAGATAGCGACGATGATAGGGTCTAAGGGACCCAACGTGAAAGGGTAAGTGTAAATACTTAGGAAACCTCCACATGGGTAGTGATCGACTCCTCGGGCGAAGGTACCACAACATGTTTATCGACCAAGTGGCACTCCACTTTAACTTTGGCAAGGAGATCATCAGTTATCGTGCATATGTACCTCGAGACCGGTTCACATCGACCAGGTACTGAGGAGGTTTTTCAATCCTAAAATCGGTGACAGTAGGGCACCCTCTCGGAACAAAATCCTCAAGGGGAGGTTTCGTCATAGCTCCGTCGCCGGCGGGCCATGAAGAAGAGGCGGCCTCCTTTTGTGGTACGGTTTTAGAAGTTTTTTCCAATGTAAAGTAGAAGAGAAGGGAATTAGGGTGATGTGCGATTTGCTTAAGATTCAAGAGATTTGGGAGCGAGAGTTGCAAAGCAAAAAAAATTTTGAAGAGAAGCAACAATGAGGGAAATTTTGAGCGTAAAGTTTGAGTGGAAGAAGGTGAAGGTACTTATAGCTTGCTGGTGGTGGTTCAGAACTGCTGGTGGCCGGCCAGCAACTGATAGGCATTTAATGCATCGGTAACCGAACCGACGGGATAT